AAGCTGAAAGAAACAAAGGACACATTTGAAAAGGTACCACTGGAGACAGATCTTTCCATCTAAAGAGAAACTTACTCTTAAAGTTTGTTTACATTTCTAAGTGGCTCAAAGTGGTGACTAAATAAATTATAATGAAAGCAGTAAGAAACCTGAGTGTGTCCCAGCAGTATCGCCTTGAGAATGAAAAAAGGTAGGGTGGGCAAAAACCTGGATCCTGCTGGTAAAGATAGTCACAGAGGCATTTGGCTTTTCTGTGGCAGCTCTTACAGGGGTCCCACAGCTGAGTTCCTCATTCTCATTTCATGGAATGGATCATGGTGGAAGTGGTGTGCTCCTGGAGCCAGCAGTGGGGGTTGGCTTCCCAATTCCCTACCCATCAATGTTAGGTGCCAAATATCTGGCTTTAAAAAAAAAAGACTTATTTTGCTTAAACATACTAGCCTAGAGTCTATGTGTTCTGTATCTGGTAACTGAATCCCAACTGATACAGGACGACAGTGCAATAAGTCAGATTAATAATAGAAAATGTGAGTAATTGTAAAAAAATTTTCTTGAGGAAGAATTGTGGTTCATTTCCAGAAAATTTAGAATAAAATCAACAACGATGTGCTTTTATGTTTTAGTGGATTCCTGCCTAGCACAGGGAAACTGAAGAAAATATAACTGTATTTAGTTCTAGAGGTGTATGTAGTAGAATAGACAGTGGAATATTACTGAGAATTTACAGAAATAAAAAGAATCATAAGAGAATACCATAAAAAAGGTATACCCCAACATTAGCTAACTTGGTCAGAATTAACAAATTCCTAGAAAGACACAAACTACTGAAACTGATTTAAGAAGAAGAAGAAATAGAAAAACTGAATAGACCTAATATAAGTGAACAGATTGAATTAATAATCAAAGAAAAGTCCAGGCCCAGATGGCTTCATTGGTGAGTTCTACTAAACGTTTAAAGAGAAATTAACGTATTTGCAAATGCTCCTCAAAACAAAACAAAACGAAAACATAAGAGGAGGCACAACTTCCCAATGCATTCATGAGGCCAGTATTACCCTGATACCAAAAGCAGACAAAGACATCACAAGAAAAGAAAATTACAGACCAATATCTCTTATGAATGCATATGCAAAAATCTTCAACAAAACACTAGCAAACTAAATTCAGCAGCATATAAGGATTATTTAATTATGGTAAGTGAGATGTATTCCAGGAATGCAAGATTAATTCAGCACATGAAAATCATTCAATGTAAAACCTCATATTATTTGAATAAAGGACAAAAACCACATGAACATGTCAATAGATGTTACAGGAATAGAAGGGGACTTATCTAACCTGATAAAGGACATTAATGTAAAACCTACAATTAATATCATACTTTATAGTGAAATACTGAAAGCTTTCCCCCCAAATCAGGAACAAGAAAAGCTGTCCATTCTTATTACTTCTATTCAACATTGTTCTAGAGGTTCTAGCCAAGACAGTTAGACAAGAAAAAGAAAAGTCATCTGGATGGGAAATGAAAGAGTAAAACTACTTCTATTTACAGAAAACACAATCTTATACATAAAACGTCCTAGGAATCCACAAAAAACATTTTGAGCTAATAATTCAACAAGATAGCTGGGTGCAAGATCAATATACAAAAATCAGTTGAATTTCTGTACAACAGCTATGATTAATTAGAAAAGAATTTTTTTTTAATTTCATTGATAGTCACATCAAAAAGGATAAAATATTTAAGAATAAATTTTGTAAAAAAAGTACAAGACTAGTACACTGAAAACTGTAAAACGTTGAAACAAATTAAGGAAGATATTAAATAAATAGAAAGGCATCCTGCACTCATGAACCTGAAAGACTATTGTTAAGATGGCAATACTACCCAAGTTGATGTACATATTCAATGCAATATTCATCAAAATTCCAATTACATTTTTTACAGACATTGACAAACAATCTAAAATTTATATGGAAATGTAAGGGACCTAGAATAGCCAAAATAATCTCGAAAAGAAAGAACAAAGTAGAAGTGTTCATGCTTTCAGATATCAAAACATATTACAAAGCTACATTAATCAAGCTAGTGTGGTATGGGCATAAAAATTAACACATACATCAATAGAAGAAAATTGTGGGTCAAGAAATAAATCTAAACATCCTGGTCAGTTATTATTGGTCAATGTGCTTAATCCATTCAATGGGGGGAAGAATTGTCTTTTCAATAAAAGGCACTGAGACAACTGTGCAATTCCTTGCACAATTCCTTGCACAATTTCTTCATGTGCAGTCCATATGCAAATGAAGGAATTTGGACTCATACCTCAAAATGGATTGAAAATCTAAATGTAGGAGCTAAAACTCTAAAACTCTTGGAAGAAAACTTAGATGTAATTCTGTTACATTGGATTAGGTGATTGTTTTTTTTAAATATTATCACATAAAACACAAAGTAACCCAAGAAAATACGGATTAATTTGACTTCATCAAATGAAAAAAGACTTTTGTCTATCAAAGGACTCCATCAAGAAAGAGAAAAAATAACCTCAAAATGAGTTGAAGATTTGTAAATCATAAATCTGTTAAGGAGCTATATCCAGAATATATAATGAATAACTTCAGCTCAAAAATAAGAAGATAAATAATCTAAGTAAAAAATGGACAAAAGACTTGAATAGACGTTTCTCTAAAGGAGATATACAAGTTGACAAAAAGCATATCAAAAGATGCACAATATCATTAGTCATCAGTGAAATGCAAATCAAAAGTACAAGGAAATACCACTTCATACTCACTAGGGTGTTTATGATAAAAAAAAATTAGAAAGTAACATGTACTGGTGAAATTATAGAGAAATTACAACTCTTGAACATTGCTGGTGGGAGTGTAAAATGGTGCAGTTACTGTAGAAAATATCAATAGTTTGGCAGTTCTTCAAAAAGTTAAATGTAAAGTTACTTTATGACCCAGCAATTCCATCCTATGTATATATATCCAAGAGAATTGAAAATATATGTTCAAACAGAAACTTATATATGGATGTTCATAGCAGCATCATTCATAATAGAAGAAAACCTGAATGTCCATCAACAGATGAACTGAAAAACAAGATGTGGTATATCCAGTCAATGGACTATTGTTTATCCATAAAAAGGGATGAACTAACATGCAACAACATGATGATACTTATAAACATTATACCATGTGAAAGAAACCAGACACAAAGGCCACATATTGTACGGCTTCATTTTTATGAAATGTCCAGAAAAGGCAAACCTATAGAGACAGAATATAGATTAGAGGTTTCCAGAGGCTGGAAGAAGGTCACAGTGGAGAATGACTGCTAATAAGTACAGTATTTTTAACTAAGGGCCATGAAAATATTCTGAAATTAGTTTGTGGCAATAATTGCATAACTTTGTGAATATACTGGAAACCACTAAATTTCATACTTTTAAGTGGTAAATTTTATGGTATGTGAAATACATTGCAATAAAAAAAAAAATCCAGGTCTCCTTTAAAAGCAAAGGCAAAACTTTTTGCTAAGCATTAAGAAAAATAGTTTTTCCTTACTGAAACGGAGTTTTCTCCATTAGTCCTGTAAAGGAGATTAATGTCTGCAAGAGATTTACACATTTTCAAGTTTACAACGAGTCATATTCATTATTTATTATCTCAGCATAGTAGTTCTTTCTTCTGAGGAAGTGAGAGAGCTAAATCTGCAGTATGTCCCAAGGTGCTCAACAGTCCAGCACCCTGTACTTCGAGAGGGAGGAGTTCTTTATATAAACACTAGAGGTCGCTGTACACTTGTAGAAATGATAAATTTTATCAAACCACTAGACTTCTAAGATTTTGGTGTGTTTTTTTTTTAATTAATTTATTTAATTTATTTATTTTTGGCTGTGTTGGCTCTTTGTTGCTGCGCGCGGTCTTTCTCTAGTTGCTGTGAGCCGGGCTACTCTTCGTTGAGGTGCTCAGGCTTTTCATTGCAGTGGCTTCTCTTGTTGTGGAGCACGGGATCTAGGCACACTGGCTTCAGTAGTTGTGGCTCGTGGGCTCTAGAGCACAGGCTCAGTAGTTGTGGCACACGGGCCTAGCTGCTCTGCAGCATGTGGGACCAGGGCTCGAACCCGTGTCCCCTGCACTGGCAGGCGGATTCTTAACCACTGTGCCACCAGGGAAGCCCCTAAGATTTTGTTTTTAATGGCCATTCAGTGTAGATTATAAAATAAACCATACGGCCCATGAGTATCATAGCAGTAAATTGTGTTTTTAAATTTCTATTAATCAATATGATCAGAAAGTAAAGCTTTTAGGTAAAAATAAAATATATCAATAATAATAATTTTAAGTAAATAACATACTCTCATTTCCAAAGGATTTTCATACATATCATCTTTTTTTTTTTTTTTTTTGCGGTACGCGAGCCTCTCACTGTTGTGGCCTCTCCCGTTGCGGAGCACAGGCTCCGGACGTGCAGGCTCAGCGGCCATGGCTCACGGGACCAGCCGCTCCGCGGCATGTGGGATCCTCCCGGACCGGGGCACGAACCCGCGTCCCCTGCATCGGCAGGTGGACTCTCAACCACTGCGTCACTAGGGAAACCCCTTATCTCACATTTTTTAGCATCATCCTTGGGTGGGAGGAAGTAAGGATGGATATTATCATGCTTCCTGGTACACATGAGGAAAGCAGGGGCCTTGGGAGTAAGGAGACTTATCCACATCATGTGGCTGGTGAGGAGTGGCAGAGAGAGGAGAGTGCCACAGCCATTCCTACTGCGTCATATTGACATGCAGAAGAAAATATAACGATTTTAAAGATTCCGAGTAACTATTTATAACAGTGACTTCCTCTTTGATTTGGGAGCTGGTAATCACCCTTTCTTCCTGCCATACGTAAAATCTCAAAAGTTTAAAATCAGTCCATGTGCTAAACGTGAATTACAAATGACACTTTGACTAAATTACCCAGGAATTCTGAGATCTCTGGCAATAGTCTCTTCCAGCACAACTAATTAAAAAAATATATATATATATTTTAATACAGCAGGTTCTTATTAGTTATCTATTTTATGCATATTTGTGTATATATATCAAACTAAAAATATTTTAAACAGAGGTGAATATTCCATTAAACAGACCTGGCAATTTTTGACATTTCTTTTCCATGAATAGTTTGAAGCACTGAGCCATCCCCCACTCTTTTCTTTATCCAAAGTTCATAGCCGATCTTACTGTACAGGATAAGCATCACCATAAGAGGCAGGAGGAAGAGGATGACAAGGATGAAGGTACTATAGATTTTCTGGTGCCCAGGGCTGGTCCACTCTTCCAAGCAGCAGATGTGTTCTTTTTCATATAAGAAGTTATACTTAATCTTTAAAATAAACACAATTCAGTTAGAAGAGCCAGAGGCAGCATCGAAAGAACACAAAGCAGGGCTTCCCTGGTGGCGCAGTGGTTGAGAGTCCGCCTGCCGATGCAGGGGACATGGGTTCATGCTTTCCGTGAGGATCCCACATGCCGCGGAGCGGCTGGGCTCGTGAGCCATGGCCGCTGAGCCTGCGCGTCCGGAGCCTGTGCTTCGCAACGGGAGAGGCCACAACAGTGAGAGGCCCGCGTACCGCAAAAAAAAAAAAAAAAAAAAAGAACAAAAAGCAGCCAAATACTATTGTAATGCAGCATTTTTTAGATCCTTACATGTTTACCATGGGTACATATTTCAAATGAGATACAATTTTGATTGTTCTTTTGTTGGGAGGTGTGGGGTTTTTTCCACTCCAGTGTTTAAATTCTTAAGAGTTTCATATTTTCTTTTTTATTTTAAATGGAATTGAGGTCCATAGCCAGTTCACTTTTTTTTTTATCTTTCTCATCTTTTTACACGATAGTCGTTAAGTTTTTAGTTGGGTGAAAGAAAGAACACTACAATGACCAAAGTATGTATGAAAAGAATACTTTGTACTAGCATGCCAGCTAATTTACTGTTACATTATTTTGCTCCCTCAGTTGTTGAAGAGACCAATTCTGACATGGCATCAGACTTCTTCCAATTGAATTCGTACTGCAAGTCTGTATTTTGTTACTGCTATTTCAGATTGCAATGATCAGGTTGCTTGCAAAGATTTTAGAGAGGCAAGTGGTAGCTTGTAGATTCTGAGATGAATGAGAAACTGGGATTCAAACTATTGCCAATGTATGACTATTCAGACCAAATTATAAGCCTTTGAGCTATATATTTTACAGAAAGGCAAGTTCTATTTATTAATACTATTTCTAACAGACTGATCTCATGAGTTCAAAAAATTAATAATAACAGTATTAATACAGAAACTAACACACCATTGTAAAGCAATTATACTCCAATAAAGGTGTTTAAAAAATATTAACAGTAATAGAAAATGCTAATAAGGGACAAACCAAACATTTAAAGCATATTCAAAAGTCACATATCTGGATAATAGGAATTAAAGTTAGAGAATTTATGGAAACTGTTGTAGTTTGAGTCACTCTGGAGCTTTCCAGGTGAAGAATACTTAGGTCTTAAGACATATTTCTGCCTCCATTCCCAGAGGATTTTCACCAGTCTTCAAAGTCAATTGAATGGGGGAAACAAGCTTTCTGGTATAGTTATCAAAAGTATGAAAATTCAAGCTCTGATCTAGGTGTTATTTTTCAAATACAACTAAGAATGAAAACACTTACTGAACAATAATTTCAAGGTCCATGCTCTCTGAGAAGAGGATATTATGGTGAAACTCCTTCTGACTCCATGTAGGCAGAGCCCACTGGGCCAACAACCATGGGGGCCACGTATTGACACATTCCAAAGCACAAGGCGAGACTGACAGTCTCTGAACAGGTGCGCGTTCCCCTGGGGACAAGCAAAGACCTTCTGAGGGCACGCTCAGGTGGTTTCATGGGAACCAATCTCAGATCTTCTATTTCCAAACACATACTTCTCTAAAAATCCACTGCCAAAGAGAATGCCTGGGGTTGAAGTGTCATGCTGAGTCTACATTCTCAGTTCCTCTTTCATAATCACCCTTCTTTCAATTTTCACAAGTCATATCTCTCACCCAACCCCAATCTCACTATGGGCCCACCAAAGCAAGACGTGGTTCAAACTATTTGATGTCAGTGAAGCCACCTTGATCGAGGCACCATAAATCCACGACGGGGCTTTGTGCTTCTCCCTGTATTTCTATTCAGGGGAAAACTTGGCATTGGAAAAAAGGTGTTTTGACAGGTGATGACATGTTGTGAATTCCCATTTTCTGTACAGTGAAGGGGCAGAAGTAATGGGGCAACTTTAACCTAACCACCTCATTGCTTCCATTCCCTGAAAGTTGTCAAATACATCACTCCAGAGAAAGAGCCAGTGAAAGCAAAGCAAAGAGAACATTAGTGGAAATGGTGAAGTTAGTGGTGCTTCATTTCATCCAACTGAGGGATTAAGGCTTTTTGTATGCTCGCACTCTCGCTAATAGGACTTAGGAATGAGAAGGTGGCCGTGGGAAAGCATGTTAATACGTTTATTTGATTTGCAAAATGAAATCGTACTTTTTCTTGACAGAAAGCAAATCTGATTTGGCTGATCTGTGACAGAGAGGACTGGCTTTGCCAATTAGATTTTATGCATTTTCTACAAATGAAATGATTTATATATTTAAAATGTATAAATACATAAATTTTATATATTTATATATAAAATTGTTTATATATATGATAACATAATTTTATTTAAAAAATGGACACATCTCCTTGTGTTCTATGGGTCAGAAATGGACCCCACGTGGGAACTGGGTTGGGTCATTTATAAAAGGGCTTCATTGGTGTGGGTTTCCTGCTGGAGATAAGGGCAGTCTCAGAGAAAGGAGCTGGTCACGTCCAGTTGTGTGTGGAAGCTGAAAGGTCTTCACTAGCAGCTGGCTAAAGGGAGTAGCCGTTGGAAGCCTCAGGGTTGTTATTTGTGAGAAACCCATGAAGTAAAGAATCAGTCGTGGGAAACGGTCATATGCAGAATAAGGGGATAGTATCCCCTCTGCATACTGTAGGATTCTAGGCCTAAAAATGGCTCAAACTGGGGGAAGGGAGACGTTTTAAATTGATTGAGGGTATGGACTTATGTGATTGTGACACTGGACTAGACATTTTGATAAGGGAACTAACTCTGTTCAGTGACCAGTCACTGTTCTTATGACTGAAAGTGACCAGAGGAATTTTATTCTCTGAATGACCGCAAGAGTTACAGGGCCCACTCAAGGCTTCATCCACCACATTTCATCAGAGGACTGGAAAGACTGCATTTTTGTAGGTGGCAAGGGATAGAATAAAACTGCCTTCTGCTCTTACCTGTGGAGTCCAGCTCATTCAATATACCAGTTGCATCAAACGTCAAGCCACTTTTTAAATGTACCCTTGCCTGAGGGCTCATTTGATACCCTTGCCAGTGGATACTGAGTGCCCAGTAAAGTTTCACATTTGCTTATGTCAATTTAAAAGGTACAAAAGACACGTAGTTTAAAAAATTATCTTAGAGGGTATGTGAGCAACGCCCTAGTGTCCTTAATGACTACTGTCCGCGCTAGATCTTCCAGGCAGGACGCATTCAAGTACACCCCAATGGAGAGACCGGGTCACCAAAAATGGTGCGGTGCTTCCTTCACTGTGAATCACCAGAAGCCTGGGCCCATCTGACAAAGATGTTGGGGAAGCAGAGAGGTTGGAACATCCTTTTACATGTTCCAGTTCAGATTTCAATTTGTCAATGAATAGGCAGGCAGGTGAGAAACGGCTTACGAAGGAGAATCAAGCAATAAGTAGATAAGAGGTTACAAATTTTTCATGTGTCTTAAAAATAAAAGAAAAGTCTAGAGCGAGCATTGAACTCTTAAAACATAACAAGACACTGAAGAACACTAGGAAAGGCATGTTCCACTGGCAGGAAAATGTAGAATGTGTCCCTGGTACATTTTATTTTAAACATTAAAGTCTTAATGATATGAGATCTGGATAAAGCAGAGGAAAAAATCTTAAAGCAAATTATTTTATTCCACTTGAGAAACCTCCAGTGAAATAACTGAGATCATACAAATTTGCTGTAACACTCTTGCAGGAAGGAAAATGATTATAATTAAGAGGGGAGGGAAGACATTTCAATAGTGTGATTACCAATCCCAGCCCCGAATCTACCTCAAGTCGTTGCACATGCCACATGGGGGAGCCTATGATGACTGCCACCAGCCAGACCATACATGCAAAAACGTTAAAATCATCAGAATACAACTCGGCAAAGCCAAATACATCTGTGCTTAATTCTCTAATCATAAAGAATCCTTATGTTCAATGCACCCCATCACCTGTGCCCTGGAGCAGTGCAATGGTTTCCTCATACATTCTCACCTCCACTCCTTCACTACCCTCAAAATTGCTGCTGGAATAGTCTTCCTGAAATACGTTTTAAATGTTAAAACGTGCCTAAAAGATAAAGCCCAAGTCCGTAAAATGGTCCCCGAGGTTCTCTACACTCTCACTTGCCTGTCTGTCTTTGACATTTCTGTCCGTGTTCTTCATGCCCGAGTCCTCTGCTGAGGAATTTACAGAGTTGCTTTCAGTTCCCATTTCCCAGAATACATTGTGCTGCTCCATGCCTGGATGCTGTCACCCTGAATTGGCACCCTATCCCCACTATCGAACTGTGGACCCATTTTCTAGGACTTGACTCAAAAGTCATCTTCTTTTGGAAACCTTTGAAGGCCACCACCATTTTCAGATAGAACTGACCACTGTTGTCTCCATGTGCCCTCCAGAGTAGCACCTTTGTTGCCCTTACTGGTTTCTTCTCAACTTCCTCTGAGCAAGGACAATGCCATTTATTTTTGTGTGTTTGTTTCCCCAGATAAAATTCCCAGGGAAATTCCTGGCCCTCAGTAGCTGTGGATCAAGCACCTACTGCTTCTTTGTTGAATGGATGAATAATTTAAACATGATATAGAGAACCTTCTACAGCATCTTAAAATTGAAAGCACATTTATCTTAAGCATAATTATGGGAGCATTATTTTATTGTTTACAAAACAAACACTTGTAACATCAGAAACCAGGGTGCTCTTTCCAAATTTCCTGTGTTCCATGAGTTTGTTGAGAGGATTACTTTAATGATGCATCCCTGAGCAAGGAACAAAAGAGAATCTCAATGGATTAGGGAAAGGCCAGAACCAAGAGCCCCAACATGGATTTTGAAGGAAATTTCCCAGCTCAGGCACTGCTTGTTCTTTCTATTTTGAGTGGAAGCATTAAGAAAACACTGTATTAAAAAAGAACAGGGCTTCCCTGGTGGTGCAGTGGTTGAGAGTCCGCCTGCCGATGCAGGGGACACAGGTTCGTGCCCCGGTCCGGGAGGATCCCACATGCCGCGGAGCGGCTGGGCCCATGAGCCATGGCCGCTGAGCCTGCACATCCGGAGCCTGTGCTCCGCAGCAGGAGAGGCCACAACAGTGAGAGGCCCGCATACCTCAAAAAAAATATAAATTAATTAAGTAAATAAAAAGAACAAAATAATGCCATTTGCAGCAGCATGGATGGACCTAGAGATTGTCATACTGAGTGAAGTAAGTCAGAGAAAGACAAATATCATATATCACTTATATGTGGTATCTAAAAAAAAGGGTACAGATGAACTTATCTACAAAACAGAAATAGAGTTACAGATGTAGAAAACAAACTTACGGTAACCACAGGGTAAGAGGGGGAGAGATATATACAATGGAATATTACTCAGCCATATAAAAGAACAAAATAATGCCATTTGTGGCAACATGGATGGACCTAGAGATTGTCATACTGAGTGAAGTAAGTCAGACAGAGAAAGACAAATATATGATATCGCTTATACACAGAATCTAAAAAAATGGTACAAATGGACTTATTTAACAGAAATAGAGTCACAGATGTAGAAAACAAACTTATGGTTACCACAGGGAAAGGCGGGGGGACGGATAAATTGGGAGATTGGGACTGACATATACACGTTACTATATATAAGATAGATAACTAATAAGGACCTGCTGTATAGCCCAGGGAACTCAGTACTCTGTAATGACCTATATGGGAAAAGAATCTAAAAAAGAGTGGATATATGTATATGTATAACTGATTTACTTTGCTGTACACCTGAAACTAACACAACATTGTAAATCAACTATACTCCAATAAAAATTAAAACAAAGAAAAGAAAACACTACTGCCATGGGTTTCAAGGAACTGAGACTCAATCCCAAATTGGGGTTTATGATAAAGATACACATGAACTGACACCACCTATAGAAAGTCATTATGAATCAATAATTCGAGATAGTACTACGGCTCACAAATCAATATCTCTGTCTCTGTCCCTCTCTCTCTGTCTTCATCGCTATACACATCTATTCTCTTCTAGTCCAATCGTTATTTTATTGTATTAGCTCATATCCAATCATTTTTCCAATCTTTAGTAGAAATTCTGGAGGAATTGAGTCCAGTTGGCTTAGCTCATTGCCAGAAGGAACCTTAACTCCTGCAGAGTGGAGGGACAGGGAGAAGATTCTTACAGTTTCCAAGTGCCAAGAAGAAGACTCAATAGAGAGACTGCAAGAGGAAACTGACAGCAAAGAAGATGAGCCATTTTTCTCCAGAATTCTTGTTATACTTAGGGAAGGAGATGGAAGCTGCCCAGCTGGCTCTGAGAGGAGGCATGTCCATTTGGGCTGCTATAACAACGTGCCGTGGATGGGGTGACTTATAAACAACAGAGATTTATTTCTCACGGTTCTGGGAGTTGGAAGCCCGAGGTCAGAGTGCCAGCATGGTTTGGTGAGGACCCTCTTCCGGGTTGCAGACTTCTCACTGTATTCTCACTTGGCAGAAAGGGCAAGAGAGCTCTGTGGCATCTCTTTTACAAGAAGACAAATCCCATTCATGAGGGCTATACCCTCCTGACCTCTCATTTTTTCTTTCTCTTTATCAATTGAAAATTGTATGAGATAATTATAGATTCACATGCAGTTGTAAGAAATAATACAGAAAGATCCCTTGTATACTTTGCCCAGTTTCCACCAATGGTAACATTTTGTAAAACGACAGTAAACTATCACAACCAAGATATTGACGTTAATACAATCCACTGATTTTATTCAGATTTTCCAACTTTACCTGTACTCATCTCAGTGTGCGTGTGTTCTATAGATTTTATCAATAGGTTCAAGTATCTGCCATCACAGCCAAGATACTGAACACTTCCAACACCACAAAAGTCCCTCCTGTTGCCCTTTTATAACCACACCCATATGCCCCTCCCACCTCTGTCCCTCCCTGCCCCTAACCACTGGCAACCACTAGTCTGTTTTCCATTTCTAAAATTTTCTCATTTCAAAAATGGCATATAAATTGAGCAATATAGTAAATATCTTTTGGGATAGGCTCTTTTCTTTTTTAAAAAAAAATTTATTTATTTATTTTTGGCTGCATTGGGTCTTCACTGCTGGGTGCGGGCTTTCTCTAGTTACGGCGAGCAGGGGCTACTCTTCATGTGGTGTGCAGGCTTCTCATTACAGTGGCTTCCCTGGTGGCGCAGTGGTTAAGAATCTGCCTGCCATTGCAGGGAACACGGACTCCATCCCTGATCTGGGAAGATCCCACATGCCATGGAGCAACTAAGCCCATGCACCACAACTACTGAGCCCACGTGCCACAACTACTGAAGCCCGTGCGCCTACAGTCTGGCCCTTTTCTTTTAGCAGAGTCCCCTGGACATGCATCCAAGTTGTTGCATTTATCAAGTTTGTTCCTTTGTATTGCTGACTAATACTCCACAGAATATATGTACCACAGTTTGGTTAATCATTCATCCACTGAAGACCATCTGGGGTATTCCAGTTTTTGACTATTACCAAAAAAGCAGTTATGAATATTCACATATAGGTTTTGGTGTGAACACAACTTTTAATTTTTCTGGGATAAATACGCAAGAATGGAATCCCCTGGCTGCATGGTAATTGCATATTTAGTTTTATAAGAAATTGCCACATTATTTTCCAGAATGGCTGTGTCATTTGGTATTCCTGCTGGCAATATATAAGTGATCCAGTTTTTCCACATCCTTGCCAACGTTGTGTTGTCACTATTTTTTCTTTTAGCCATTCTGATAGATGTGTATTGATATCATGGTTTCAGTTTTCATTTCCTGATTTCTAACAATGCTGAACATCTTTTCATGTGTTCGTTTGCCATCTGTATATCCGCTTTGATGAAATTTCTCTTCGTGTGATTTGTCCATTTTCTAATTGGACTGTTTGTCTTTGTGCTGCTGAGTTTTGAGAGCTTATATATTCTATTGATAGATACTAGTTTTTTGTCAGATATATACTTTGTACATATTTTCTCCCTGTCCGTAGCTGGTCTTTTCATCTCTCCACATGGGCTTTAACAGAGCAAGTGTTTAATTTTGATGAGGTCCAAATTATCAATTTTTCCTTTTATGCAATGAGCTTTTGGTGTCAGTTAAGGACTCTAAGAATTCTGTACTCAGCCCTGATAATTTTCTATGTTTTTTCCCCAAAGTTTTGTAGCTTTACATTTACTTTTAAGTCTACAATCCAGTTTGAATAAATTTTTGTATAAAGTGTGAGATTTAAGTTTTTGTTTGTTTTGTTTGCTTATTTTCACCTATAAATATCAATTGCTCCAGCACTATTTGTGGAACAGGCAATCCTTCCTCCATTGAATCACACCTTTGTCAAAAATCCTTTGAGCATATTGTGCAGATCTATTTCTAAATTCTCTATTCTGCTTCATTCATCTGTGTTTATCCCTCTGGCAATATCACACTGTTTTGATTACTTTATCTACATAGAAGCTTTGATATCAGGCAGAGGAATTCCTCCCACTTCTTCTTTGTCAAGATTATTTTAGCTATTTTAGGCCCTGTGCCTATTATAAAGTTTTGAATAAGCTTGTCTATGTCTTCAAAAATCCTTGCTGGGATTTTGATAGGAATTACATTAAACCTATTGATCAATTTTGGGAGAACAGACATCTTTAATATATTGAGACTTCCAATCCATTAACACAGTATGTCTCATCATTTCTTTATGTATTCTTTGATTTTCTTCATCAGCATTTTGTAATTTTCAGCGCACAGAACTGAAAACTATGTTTCGTTTACTGTATACCTAAATATTTCACTTTATTTGGAGTAATTATAAGTAGTATGGTATTTTTCATTTCATTTTCTGCACGTTACTTGTTAAT